TTCTTAAAGGTGCTTTAAGATTATGATTGGGTTGTGTTTTTAAACTTATTACTTTAATTGAACTTGTTAATAGATTTTGAAATTTTAAATTTTTCTATAGAATGCTAATTATTTAAGGTGAATATTTGGTGGTGTCGGCAAAAAACCGTTATCTCATTTTTTGATTTAATAAATTTTCGTTTTTTAGAAACTTAATAATGTATAGTTTTACATGTAGGCATAAAGGGCATGGGTCATCCCAGGTTTTACAAGTTCTTGTTCTATTTATTATTTTCCATTTTACTTTTGGTGTTTTATTTGTTTCTTTTAAAAGTCAAAAAATATTTAGATAGGGATGTCTGGTTTCTGTTTCTAATATTATTGAAGGAGCTTTTGTGTAGTCTCCACCTTATTTTAAATTCATTCTTCGTGGATCCTATATATATCTTTTAAATATTTGGATTCTCGATGGATGAGATTGCGCATCGATATACCACAGATTCAATGCGGCATTTATTATACAAAGGGCAATTTTCAGGGTTTCTACAATCACATAATTTTTCATTATTTTAGTCTAGTTTTAATTTAGGGTTTTTATTTATTCGATTTTGGCATGCGTGTTCTTCAAGATTTTATTGCTATGCTTTTTTTATAATTTTTTCTAGATTTTCAGTGCAGCTATAACTTATTTTTAGGGTGTTTTTATTAAATATCTTGCTATGTTTGTTGTCAGTAGGAAAATGTTTTTAGATTAAAGCTAGGAATTTTTGTCCTAGCTTATTGCTTACCATTTGTTTGAACGGGGGGGATACCAAATGATTTTCTTTTTCTGTTTTTCCTCTGGTTTGTACTATTGTTTTTTCTTTTTATATAATTGATGTTAGCGTGTTTGTAGCCACTACTTTTTAGAGCTTTGTTGTAAAAATTACTGTGTTTATGGAATATTTCTTCATTTGCGGAGTTCATGTTGATTCTTTTCTCTATTGATGAAGGTACGTGCTTAATTATGGATGGAGAATGGTTTGACCTGGGGTGTACATACAAGGGATTAATATTAGGTTTTCTGTAAGGTAGGTATATGTTATTCGTTAAGTCTAAAGTTATGTCGTGGAAGTTTACCCTTTTCAGTTTTGTGTTGACTGTACATTTTAAATTTAGTTTTCTGAATTAACTATATATTATCTTTATAATTTTATCTATTTTAAAATTTGTGAAACTCCTCACTACCATGAGTCCATCATTTCTGTATAGCCCGATGTCCTTAATATCTAATTCACGGTGTGCGGTTAGGTTGTATAATATAAATAGACCGACAAGGTCAGAAGACTCTGCAGAGTCTAATGATCCCATTGTTATGTCAAAATGGTCTTCAGAGTTTTTAATCCATTATGAATGAGGACAGATTTTTTGCATTTAAAATTATGTTCTTTTCTTCTTCTGTTAGATCTGAATATATAGTATCAAACTCTTGGGCAGTCGTGAATAGATCTCTTGATATTGTCTGGTAATAATCCTCAATATCAAACTGTATTAGGATGCAGTTTGGCTTGTTGTTGATACTGATAAACCATTTGATGACCTCTTTTGGTTTGGTTTGTTTCGTTTTACGGCATATCAACCTCAATGGGTCATTTAATGCCGACAACTTTTTTTTCTGGTAATATTTTTGTTTTGTCAAAAAATCTATTTCTGTTAATATTTTTTCCTCAAAAATGTATAGCTGTTAATATTATTTTTTTCAAAAACGTATAGCTGGTAATATTTTTTTCAACAACGTATAGCTGGTAATAATATTTTTTTTTCAAAAACGTATAGCTGGTAATACTTTTTTTTTTCAAAAGCGTATAGGTGGTAATTTTTTTTTTTCAAAAACGTATAGCTGGCATTATTATTTTTCAAAAACGCACAGCTGGTAACATCATTTTTTCAAAAGCTTAGAGCTGGTAACATCATTTTTCAAAAACGTACAGTTTCCAACATTATTCTTTTCAAAACGTACAGCTTCCAACATTATTCTTTGAAAAACGTATTATCAGAAGCCTTGCTGTCGGACGCAGCTCATCGTCCCACCCAGGACGCGGTGCAGTCCATCGTCATACCAGGACGCGGATGTAGTTTATCGTCATACCCAGGACGCGGACTCTTCGGGTGGACAGGCTTCACTGGTCCTCAAGTATTTCCTAAATCTCTCAGGTGATATCTCCCCGATAAACCGTTTCAGCTGGCGGGATAAACTCACTTGATAGGAGTGGTGTTGGCGCCACTGGGCGAAGGGCCTTCTCGACGCAGATCACGCGCCAAGGGCGGAAGTTTTCCTCAGATGAACTACAATGGCCACGTATTCGCGATCAAGGCAAGTCATCTAGTTGTAGGACATCGGCTGTAGTCTAACCTGGAGAGGGATGGGTTCTGCCAGATTAAAACACCCGACACGCCATCTGATGAGCATACCAAGAAACTATTCGCAGAAAACCAGGCTCTGGCACACAATCACGACAGATGGAGGAGAATTGTAGACGGGTCAACATATTTGTTCCCCAACATCTCCTTCCGGTCTTAAGGTCGGAGGAGGAGGAGGAGGAGGAGGAAGAAGAAAAGAAGAAGGTTTTGAATTAAGAATTGTTCTTTCCTAGAACTAGCGGGAATGTCGATTAAACACTATCTGATGTGAGAAGAGAAGGATTCATTCTTTCGCAAGTGTATTTGTGTGAAAGCGAACACACTGTCCTTTAGTTTAAATCTGAACTCGAGACCCCGATTAAAAACATAGGTCTGAAGTGATGAATATATTATTGTATATTCATGAAATAAATTTTAACAAAATGAACTTTTAAGGATCGTCTGGACTCATTATTATATTGCTCTGTTTTTACATTGAGCTCTTTTTGGATTAATGTCCTACTTGCAATTATCCTTACTAATTATCAATTGATATATATATATGCAGCATATTTTCATTCAAACATGTTTCATTGAATAATACAGACATATTGTGTCTACGTTTTTTTTATATTAATCCTTTCCAGTTGCCTAATCAGTTTCTAGATGTTAAAATGAAATTCTTCAAGGAAGGCGTCATAATTTTTTTTTTTACCCAGGTACTTTCGATTATCTTCAGGGGTAAATTAGAACGACAAGGTTATTTTAACTGCGATAAAATCTGCATTCCGTTGTGATAGTAATTTTTAAAAACACGCGCAACCGTGGATTTCCCTCTGAAGATGACCTTAGAAAAGATCGAATGTACTTGGGTTAAAAAAATCCAAAATACTACGTTGCCTTCCATGATGATTTATATATATATATATATATATATATATATATATATATATATATATAATATGATATGATGCACTCTCCGGTGGTCTTTGACGTATGAAGGTCAAACAGTTCAGCACTTAGAACTGAACAAACAGATGATTCAGCACGTATGGTTTGATTAAAAGGGTGAAGGCTTTTGCAGTACCAAACACACTTTTCGGAAGAACTGAATACAGAGAAAAGGTGCGCATAGTGTGCCACTAGGCCCCTCAAAAGTTTTGAATTCAGAGTTATCCATCTCCAAGAGTGGTTGCCAATCATTCTATGCTATCATTTAACTCAAGGGCAGTGGGGAAAAGAGATGGATTCACACATTTCCCAAGGGTATTTGCGTGTAACGAACTCGACTGGAATTCGAACTTGGCTTCCCGATTTCTCATTCGGAGTCGCTATTCATTGCACCACCCGCACACACACACACACACACACACACACACACACACACACACACACACACATATATATATTGAAATACTGACGATAATATTTCAGTCTTTTTGCATTTGTATTGTTTATATTTTCTGCCTGAGTGATCTTTAAAAAATAATAATATGTCCCTTCACGAATATGCCGATTATGATGCGCCACAAATACATTTTCTGTATTATCTCTGAATTGCCATGCTTTTTTGGGAAAGATAGTGGAGTAGTTTCTCTTCTCTACAGTTAAACTGGACTCTCTAGTTTAGCAATATGAAATAGAAGAGGCCTTGTCAAATTGAAAACACCTAGACTTGTCGTAAAAATGGACACGGGACATTTATTTTCGACCGATGGTTATCAGTAAGCGAAGTTCAGAAAAAGAGGCTCAGACAGAGAGAAAGTCACGGAAGGAAGATTAATTATTTTTTTAGGTGAAAATGACAAGACAAAGAAAATGTTTATGTATAAAATTGACCATCCAGCGCAAAGGCTTATAGAGGGACGAAGCGGGCCTCGGAGAACGGACAGGGAAGACAGCCGTTAAACTATGCAAATTCTCCCTACCCGACGCCTCAGCTTATAGCATAAGGTTAAAACCCAAGAATAAAATCTGATTTACTGCTAGAAATTGTTTTGTTTTTCACTCGTGGGTAATAATCTGAACGAAGAGTAATTTTAAGCCACAATCTTTTGGATGGAAGAAACTGCACTCCATCAACGAACCTGGAATCTGGTATGAGCTGCAAAGCAACAAGGCTCTAGCCTTTAGCGGTAAACAGTCTAAGAAAAGAAAAACTATGGATTCCAAAATGTCAACTCTCTCTTTCTGATTGTAATTCTACATTTCCTTTTTCTTGCTACTTTTCTTATGAATTCTTTAAGGATTTTAATCCGAACTACTGACGGAATAAGACCAATGACTGATCTAAGATATTCAGGCAGAAAAAAAGACTCAAAAAAATTTTGGGCGAAACACAAGCAAGAGGATTGAAACGATTCATGAAAACAACTGGTGAAATAATAAATGCATCTAATGTGCAACTTTTGTGCACCATCTGCTTCTGTCTTCTTAGCTCTGACTCTCACCCCCCCACCTACACACCCGGTACCTAGAGAATGTTTTGAACACATGTCTTGACGTGTGATTTATGTTATATCTCCGCCGTTTCTGGGGGGATGGCATTTCCGACTAGAAAGACAAAAAGCGAAAACATTCTTTTCCGTTTTAAGGAAATCAGTCAACCATTGATGACGGCGCAGAAAAATAAAAAAAAGAAATCAACCATGATGGGGAAAGAAGGTGAAAAAAAAACTCTCTATGCAGACAGAAAGAAGAAGAAGGAGGTGGATGAGGAGGAGGAGGAAGAAGAAGAAGGAGGAGGAGGGGGACAAGAATAATAAGAAGAAAAAGAAGATGGAAGAGGAGGAGAAGGAGGAAGACGAAGAAGAAGGAGGAGGAGGAGGAAGAAGAAGGAGGAGGACAAGAATAAGAAGAAGAAAAAGAAGAAGATGGAAGAGGAGGAGAAGGAGGAAGACGAAGAAGAAGGAGGAGGAGGAGGAAGAAGAAGAAGAAAAAGAAGAAGATGGAAGAGGAGGAGGAGGAGGGTGAGGAAGAAGAAGAAGAAGAAGAAGAAGAAGAAGAAGAAGAAGGGAATTTTTTAAAAATAAAGCTCTAGTTTTAAACCTTTTCTTTTGTTTTTTCAAAGAAACGTGTTTCTCGACTTTTCACATTTAATTTGCAAAGGCTTGCTTGGTCTGGTACAAGGCTACATGTGTCGCGAGTTCTTAAGTGTTCACTTATTTAACTTCAGTGCTCAAACGAAAGAATTTCAGCATCTCTTTAATGTACATCATGACTCAGATTAGCTTAGTCTGACACAAAGCAACGTTCGGTGAAGATATAGACCTTCATAGACTTTCCCTAAATTTTACAGCAGATCAAGTGAGCCAGGTGAAGGACTGACTGAGGATTATGCCCAATCGCCGAATGTAGTATTACGTGACGTCCTATCCGGTTTTGTAAGCGTAGAAAAGGATTGTAATACATCCATTTATTTAAAAAACGCCACAGAGAGGAGTTAGGCAGTCTCCCCGACATCGTCGATGAGAATGTATGGGCCACATTTTGAACTGACTGAGTGTAACTGACGAAGTACAGAAGTAGAATAAAATGTAATATAAATATGAAAGGGTCAAGTCTAGTGTCATTTATTGATCAGCACGTATTATCATTATTCGGCATAAACTCTCTATTACGCGAGGAAACTTGTAAAGATTTCACGATGCTGTGTTATTCATGAAGATTGGGAATCACGCCTTCTTGCCGCCATCCATAATCATCATCATCACTAGTCCCATGACCAGGCATGGTCATAGGGTCATTACGCAATAGAGCACTCGACCAATCACCTCCACATAAAAAGCTTGAAGGCTCACCTTGGTCATGAACACATTGTCATTGATTCGAACGAGGAGCGTGGGGAACTCCCCTACTGACCGTTAATTTCAGTCTAGGAACTACTCCACCCAGCGATGCCCTAACTGTGGGACAATAATTAGACAATGCTGATCCTTCAGCTCTGTAAGGCGACGGTACCCAAGAGAAGACCTCCAGCTTCGTAGATTCTTTGGTCGCTTCGACACGCTGAGCTACTGAAGGAGGACACTACGCCTAAAGAATAGATTTGGTGTGCGCAGAATGATTTCCACATCCGGCGCTGATGCGATAGCGTCCATGTAGTAGAAAGATTTATGGTCATTCTTTTATTCGTGTAAGCGAGGAAAACATGACAAAGAAACGAATCATCGAATAAACAAGCAATCGGTGTGTATAGTATTATTAATCACCAACGAGATTGGCGTTTACTAATAGCACAACGCATATCGTCTGTATTGGCTGCTTTTATTGTCCTGAGAAGATAAATTTTATTAACTATTTATTTGTCAACATTGAATGAGAGAGAGAGATAGAGATAGAGAGAGACAAAGACAGAGAGAGAGAGAGATAGATAGATAGAGAGAGAGTGTGTGTTGCAATTTCTGGCACTCTTAAAGTCATTACTAAGATGCGATAATTCTCACTGAATATTTTTGGAAGGAGAAACTTCTTTTTACAAATCATTTTTCTACACGTAATCTGTCTCTGTCTCCTGTTTTTTTTCCTTTCTCTGCAGTAATGTTTTCAATTCTTTTACTCTCAGTAACCCCATTGCTCTTTAGTAGCTTTATCAGTTTTCTTGGTGTGAAATGATTAAAAATTCACAAACCCCCTCGCTTAATTGATAATTCGTTAATTCATTGTCGAACGAAAAGTCACTCAATCTTGTCACATTCTTCCTCTTCTTTTTTCTTTTTTTTCTTTTGTGATGACAATCGTCAGTCCTGAACTTGTGTCTTGTGACCATCAACTGATTCTATCAAATATATATTATTAAAGAAATACGGTTTCCTACAACTGATGTGGCTTTTTATTAGTTAGCTGATTCTTTTTTCATTCCTTAACCATTAAACGTATTCTTTACCAAATACATATACTTTTATATCTCAAGTTAAGTTTATAATTTTTTTCTTTTCATCTATATATCTATCCATCGATCTAAATTCCCTCGGTGGGACATAATGATCAGCGAAGAGAGCCTGGTTAAAATTAATTGTGGGTTCAATCTCCACTAGCAGTAAATATAATAGTTGGAGATTAAATAACCTGACAAAGGTTGACATGTCATAAAGGATTACCCTATAAACAAAATGCAGAACTATTTTCAATTAAGAAAACTTTTTAAAAATTATTGATCATGTCTCTTTATTTGCTCAGTTGAAATGGGTGACTTTTTGTTGATCAAAGATTTTGCTGTGTAAAGATCAAACTGTGAATGTCCAGTATACTTGAAATTTTCTACTCGATATATGAGGTTATTCTGAAAGTAATACAAGTAATTTCAGTTCATAGACGATAACGGGTCTCTACAGATTTTTTTTTCTTATTTTTGAATTATATGATTTTGGGAAAAGATAGTGGAGTTGCTTTTCCCCACTGTCTTGAAGTCAGAATTTTATTTTTCTTAGACTGGGTGCTGCCCAAAGTTAAATAGTCCAAGCTACCCTGGTGTGTCGAGAAGAGATGGATTCATGCCTTTTCCAACAGCATTTCTGTGAAGGTTAATGTATCAGTCATTGCCGGAATTTGAACTCAGCTCGCAGATTTCAATTACCGCTTCTGCAACGCTAAATACAGATATTCTTTTCTTTATTACTTGTGAAATTGCCGGAGTTCGTGGAAAAGACACTGGAATGCTTTCCCGTCGACTTTGTCCAATGTTTGGAATTCTGAGATGTCTTTCAAGATTGGCCTCTCCCCAAGGCTAAAGAGACAATTCTACCCTGCCTTTTAAGTTATGTGAGTTAGAGATACATAACTTTCCCAAAGAGAAAAAAGATTGGAACGGAATTTGAAGTCTTTCCTTCGATTTCACTTTTCTGCGTCGATAACGGTTTTGCTACCTATACAATTTTCTTTTATTCCCCGTGTCTCTTCCTGATATTGACGATCATGGCTTTCCACATCTTCCTGCGCCATGAAACTCTAAGCAATAGTTGACTCTTTACGACCACTCTTTGTTTCCTCTCCGCTCTCCCTTCACACAAATTCTCCCCACGTCCCTCTGCTCCTCCTTTTTTCCCTTTGTGTTGTGAGTATTAAAATCTCCGGGTTTTCTTTCCTTGTTATGTATCCCAGAATTTTCAGTTATCCCTTTTGGATTTTTAAGTAATAATCTTAATTTCCATTCGATTTTCTTTAGAACTTCCGCCTTACTCACACAGTGCATAGTATTCTTACCATCCGTCCGTAGAACCACATCTCTGATATTTCAAGACTTTTGCACGAAGACAGATATATCGTAACAGTTCAGCGTTCTTTGTTTCTCACGACATTTTCCTATCTCTTAATAATGTGTTTAGATTCTGGGAGGCATCTTTCGCTTATCCAATGCGCGTTCGAATTTCTGCGTCATGTATTTCGTCCTTTGTTACTACGCCACACATACAGTTTAATTTCTTAATTTTGGTTAATGTTTGGGTTTTGTAGCAATTTGCTTTGTTGGGATTTGTTCCTCTAATTTGTTATAACTGATCCATACTCAAAGTATGTACCACAACTGCTTTCATTCCAATTTCAGATCATAGTTTCTCTTTCAGAACGGCTTATCTTCAGTATTATTTCTTGCGACACTTTGTAGAGTATAATGATTATCTGTTCAACATCGCGTTCAGGCAGTTTGTTAAATATTAAAAAGGGTAATTGTATCTAGTCTGTCAAAAGTGCGCAAGTTTATCAGTCAGCAAGATCAGTTATGTAAAAAAAAAAATAGTTATTAATTATGAAACCCTGACCGATTAAAGAATGCTAAAAAAGAGAAGGAATTTTAAATCAAGTCTTCGATTCATATTAACCACTTTTTAACGGCATTGCAAATTTTGAGTGAATTTCTTTTATGAGGCGTTATTACCATTGATCGGTCATGTGAAGCCTAGTCTGTAAAAAAGCGTAGTTTTCAAGGAAGATGCTGTGAACATGCTTGGGTAAATAGATTCTCTTTTAGCATGACGTGCCGGACTTGTGAATAAAGACAGACATTTGTAACGTCCAATAGTTTTCCTTTTTAGGGTAGGAGAGAAGGAATATAATGCATTTCTATTCATCGTTAATGTTTCCTTTCTAGAAAATAATGTTTGAATAGTTATCTGCATTCGACGGTCAGGTTCTATCGAAGTCCCTCAACATGTATTTGGTAAACCCCAAATTTTGATACAATCTTTCTTGTCTGAAATAGTTTCCTTGTCAAGTTTTTGTTTGGCACAACATTTTGACCAATCTACACTCCGACCTTCCTTGTCTGATGCATTTTGGTGTGTTTATGACTGCACATCATTGGAAAGCAGCAGTATGACAAATTACGGCATCTCTGTCAACATTTTCTACCATCTAGAATCTATTGGATAAATGTAGAAAAGCAACACACTTATAAAATGCAGGACTGTAAAGCCGTTATAAATACCAGATTTTTTTTTTTTTATTATAGACAATTTATCGTGAAAGTTTTTAGTTTTATCTGAAAGGATTTTATTATGGATGGAAAACATTAGAAAGCAAAAGGAAAAGTTAAAATTGTTTTTTTAAAGGGTTGTTTATTTCGGATAGAAATTAATTTGGATGCGAAACAGTTACTGGATGAGAAAATAGTAAAAGAGAGACTAGATAAAATTTGAGTCTAGTCTGCTGTGTTCAATTTTGCATTTATGATTTTGAGAAAAGAATAAATCTTTTTCTTCTTCCCCCCAGTATGGATTAAATAGCAGGATAAACTGGATCTAATAGCCATGAATCGCAGCCAGTAAAGGAGTATGAATTGAAAACCGTGGAATAAGCACATGGATACTGCTCCGGTGTCTTTCTCGAGAAGCTACGGACATTCAAAAAAAAAATAAATAAAATGAACCTGTGAAGCCCCATGATCCACCATATTCTGGGCGAGGTTGGCATTAAAAATTAAGTCGGTGATACTTGGCTTCCAGTAGGGTATTTCAAATATGAGCGGAGGATTTTCTAATCTAAACGGAGGAATTTTCGTCGTATATATAATTGTTCTGTTCAATCTTTCGTAAATACACGTGAAAAAAGGTACGTTTGATTTAAAGAGTCGACTGGAATCTTTATCTTTGGGTGTCTACCAGTCTAAGAGAAGGACAATTCTGAACTCTAAACTGTACATCAGAAACCACACCACTATGTTTCACAAGAATGCAATTCACCGATAATAAAGGAAAGGGATCTGTAGAGAGTCATGGTCGACTGGCACCTGAAGAGCCATAACATTTTTTTTTGTTAAAAATAAGTCAAAATTATAATAATGAAAAATATTTACTCAAAAACACGTCAACAAGAGGAATTCAGAAAATCTCGTTTCGTAAGTGACCTTAGATTTTGAAACCGCAAAGCTACAAGTGTGTGACATCCAATGGAGATCGCACTCAATTCTGTAATAAAAACATCTGAGACTAACCTGTTAATTAATCCTCCACGGAGACATATTTTTAAAACGTACCTGAGTATAAAAATGACACATGACTGACATTCGGTAAGGATCGAACTAATGCAAACATACAATAGTGTCTATTCTCAGATTTTCACCGACATAAAAGCTTAAGGTGCATGTCTATTCTTGATCGTGGCGATGCGAAGCAAAAACTGGGAAAGGATCGTTGCGCGCTCACAAGTAAATGAAAGACGAAAATGCTCACAGCGAAAAATGAAAACCCAAATATTGTCTCAATGAATCTCGTTGTTTGTTCAGATTTTCGCTTGAACGGTCTGGGTGTGTATGTAAACATATTCTGCTAAAGAAAAAAAATCATTAGGCGTTTAAACTTAATTCACATTTAAAATCAGTCCAAGTTATTGGAACAGCATATATATATATATATATATATATATATATATATATATATATATTATCTAAAAAAATTATAACATAAATATGTTATAAAATCACTACAAAAATAGCCATTTTGTTTCAACAGCTCCGGGGTCTTATCAAGTGATGATGTTGAATGTAAAATAAATGGTTTTAAAAGTTTCAAATTAATTAACGATCCTTCGCAAGGGGAAAACGTTGTTACAAAAGCTAGAATGACCAATCAAAATACAAGTATAGGAAAATTCAAAAAGCTTGATAACGAAGTCATGTTATAATAGCTACCCAGATCTTTAAAATAGGGTAATATTAAAAAGAATTTATTCTAACCAATAATTATTAAATTATATGATAAAATTGGATATTAAAATTAAAAGTAAAAATTACCAATTTTAAAATATATATATATATATATATATATATATATATATATATATATATGTGTGTGTGTGTGTGGGTGTGTGGGGTGTGTGTGCGTGTGTGCTTACTTATTTTTCCCGTCATGGGGGTAACAGTGAAAAGAGAAAGACGATTGAAAGGTAAAGGAGAGGAAAATGATGAGAGGAATCGACGTTGTTGTGATTTGAAGGAAAAAAGATTGCAATAAAGTTTCATGTATAAAAATATTTACAAGTGTCAACATCCTTTTTTTTTTTACAAAATCAATAAATTAATATTGAGATTTAAATTAAAACTGGGTCTCATACAAGATAAAGCGAAACAGTTGAAAACAGAGAATGATCTCACTGAAAGATTTACGCAAATAGATGGAACAAGTAAAGCAGAGAAAAATAGGGATAAAGAAGAGTTGTTGAGAGTCATCTTACTTATTATAAAACCCAGGCTGTGTGTGTCTGTACGTTTATATATTGGATCGGATTTCCTACATTTTTCAACCAATTTCAACAAAACTTCACAGGACTACGTAAAATTACCTTGAAGTAGGTCTGACAGCGCCCAAAATGGGAAAAACACAATTGTTCTTGCACAAAATCAATTTGAAAACACGATTAAGTCGCCAGAATGAAAGGGGAACAACTCATATCGAGTTATACTTATAAAACCCAGGTTTTTTGTGTGTGTGTTCCTTTATATATGAGATCGGATTTCCTACATTTTTCAACCGATTTCAACAAAACTTCACTTTTTTGGCAGGTAGTGTTTCTTATTGTCTTGCACACTTTTCTTTATTTTTACATTCAGAATGCTTTAAAAATTCCATTTACAAGACAATTGTTTATAATAAAATTCTATTCAATCGGTGGACTCATAACGATTGAAAACAATGTTTTTGTTTGAGTTTGGGTTTGACTAATTCGTTAAAAAAGCCCAAAAAAACAAAAAAAAAAAAAAAAAAAAATAATTAAGACATGCGTGTCCGTCAACCTTAAACAATAATCTTTGTCAATTTTATTTTTCAGTCTTTATGATGGTCGATACTTGATCTATCTCTTACTGTTACATTCCCGGGCAACGCCGGGCTCTACTGCTAGTAACAGATAAGTGTGGAGAGCTATGAAGTAATATTACATTTATAAGGGAATTATAAAAACCATGAAAAAAGTTTTCGTATTCTAATTAATTTGTCGGCATGAAAACCCATCAAGAATATAACGATAGAACACGTGCAACAAAAAGAGATTCTCTATACAGTAAATACCGCCAAAGAAACGCGAAACCTAACGTTTAAAAGGAATTTTTAAAAATGAAAAATCTTTCTTGAAGTTTTTATTTTGGTTTTAATTTCAAGCTAATAGATTAAATTTAATATTTCCGTTAACCAAAATACTCTCCTGTATTTCAAAACTAATTTAAATTGACTGGAAATATTTTTCGTTTCGAAATTGCGAAAATCGCTAATTTTAGATCCATTTTTAACCATCTTTCATCAGATACAATTCTCTATATTAAAAAATCTTCAAAAATAAAATATAATTTACTGAAACTTTATTTATGGGATATTATTGATTAAAAGTTTAATTAATCTGACTTGAAACAAATGTTACTTATTTTAAGTTTAAAATAGCACAGAAATGCATTTTTTACACGGAGGTAATTGTTTATTGAAGGTGTTGAAAGATTGACTCACAACCAGAAGTTTTTTTCTATGGTGGACATATCTGTAAAATTTACTTGAGGAATATAACGTGAGCGCCCTTTTTATAATTTTTAACTACCCAGTAATCATAAAAAGTTAAGAAAATATTCTCCGTAATGTAATGTTTTATTGAAGGTTAAGTAAATTTAAATTTACTGTAGTTACTACTTCTATTTTCTGATAATGTGTATAAACGCACGAATTTACAAAAATCGGCTCGTTTATACAGAAAAATATTTTAAAAATATTTTGAAAAAGTGTTCGATAAATTGTACTAAGCTTTTCCATTAATGATAAGTAAATATAATTTTACTTAATAACAATATGAACTAAACACTACAAAGTAAGAATTTTAAAAGATTTAAAATTTTATAAATTGTTATAATTGAAATTTTGGAAAATGAAAACAATTATTGAACATATTTATTATTCATGGAATCTTTTTTATCTTAAGACAGTAGTGTCTATAATACATCTTATTCATATAAGCAATTAAGAGATTTTCTAATTGAACAATGTCTTAATTTTACTTCATTTTTTTATTGGTTTTAATGGTTTTCCAAGCGTAGCTTAGATGTGGCTCAAAGCTGAAAGTAAGTGACACCCAGTGAGGATCGAACTCACTAGTCAGTCGCATTTGTTCTAACGAGACAAGCTTGTAAACCATTACACTACTTCGAGGTGCCCAAATGGTGGTACCCAGTATACATCCTGTCAGAATTCCTTAAATACACAGAGAAAGCATCAAAATATTTACCAGATTTTATACATAAGGTACACAGCCTGTTGCAGAAAGACATACAGACACTTAATTATTTATTTAGCTAAAATTTTCGCTCAAGAGTAGAGAAGAACTTAATTCGCTTTCTAACAGCTATAAAAACTCAACATTTAGCTTATAAAAGTTAAAATTGTAATTTTCATTGTTGCTAATGATTCCTCGAAACTGGTGCTGCCAAATATAAGGAATTTAGGAGAAAGTTATTTTGGTTCTTAAATTTTAGCGAACAGCCAAACATTTTTGGATCATAGCCAAAACAAAAGTCATTTTAAAACGAGTTATCAAGTACTTCTTTAAGAAAATTTATATATATATAATATATATATATATATATATATATATATATATATATATATATATATATATATATATTAGTGATTACTTGGCACATTTTTATGATTTTATGTGTTGTGAATTTTAGTTTTGTTTTTGTTAAGTGTGTTTTTAGTAAATATAGGTATTTCTTTTAGGGGAACATTTGTATATAAAGATTTTCTTTCTGAATTGTCCTATATTTGTCTTAATATCTTTATATACAAATTAATTTTACATCTTTCTATACATCAAAATGTGCCAATTATAAATGTTGTTTCACACACAAACACACGCGCACACAAACGCGCGCGAGCATGTATACACAGAGAGAGAGAGAGAGAGAGAGAGAAGGAGGGAGAGAGGGAGAGAGGGTGAGAGTTAGCTAGCTCGCGACCTAGCTTGGTAGATAGATATGAACATACTGAAATGCATAGCTAGATAGATAAATAGATAACTAGATAGATATGAACAGACTGAAATAGATAGAAAGATATAGATATGAAAAGACCGTAACAGATATGAACAGACTGAATTAGATAGATAGATAGATAGATAGATAGATAGATAGATAGATAGATAGATTATTTGTATGTTCATTTAATGTACAAAATATTTATTGTTATGAACATCTACGTAAAGTAAATAAAGGATTCTGTTTGAAATTCCCTGAAAGTTATTTGGATCAATAGACACCCGCTGAAGGCCGCTGAGTACAACTGTTGAAGCGTTTGTGAAAATTACAATAAAGATATGACCATTACTCTCACTGTATATCATGTAAGTAACATTACTACTTAATTGTAATATTACCAAAGCCGTTACGGTATACATACTGGCAAACAAAGTCTTCTGGGGAAAACATTTAGTATCCCAGATTTCTCAAATTCAAATATAAGCCTCCCTTATTTATATTCTATACGGCCCTATCATAGAGTCTGCTAGGTACAAGTCTTTTTGTCTGTGGAGTTTTAAAAAGAATTAACAGATTAGATACCTTAAATTCGCTTATAATGTCCGGGATATATATCTGGTGTTTTGAAAAACACAGACAGGGTCTTATGTGGCATCAGATATTGTAATCTTCATTGTTCTTAAAATACAAGAAAGCAAGGAAAATTATTTTGTATGAATATAATGGTTACAACAGCACGCTTACAAAATTACAGACAGAAAATTAGAAACACTGTCTGATTTTCAGTGAGGAGTGAAGCGTCAGCCATTTTGTTACGCGATATTTGGGAAATAATAAATACTATCAACAGAAATGTTAAAGAAAAATACACATATTCCCCTTTTTTTGAAAGAACGTTTTACGTTCTATCACTTTTAAGAAAGCCATACATTGACATGGTTTTACTAACCGAAAGAAATTCAAGAAAGATTTTGCGAAAAAAAGGTCGATAAACGCAAGCGTTTACAATAGAGCAAGACGTTATAAAGGTAACATCTACTCCGGGTAGCAGAATTGGTGCTACCATGCTCCTCTCTTGGGAATTACAGTCAACATCTCAACATTAATCGCCATAGTTTTGATCAGTGTCTGAGTATTTACACTTATTTTCAGTACGCCCACAAGTTTCAGAAAAAAAGACGGGTGGTGTTATGTTTAATGTAAAACCTGACGTATGTAAGCGATTCGATGGTAGTGGATTGTCATGGGTCCTACAGAATGAACTCTTCCTAACTATGTATACTTCGCCTCTCTCTCTCGAGAGGGTCGAATCAAGCCGAGCTTCTCGACTCGACGGTCGAACTCTCTGCTCAGAGAACCCGGACGAGGCTCCGCCGAAGTGCAGAGTCCCGTTCGGGGAGGTTGACCAACCCGATCCCGTTTAAACGGGTTCGCGCATTTTTTGGCCGAGCCTACGGACTCGCGAAACCCACGTAGAACTCGGCCTTGTGCCACATGCAACCCTCGTGGGGGGTGGCTAGATACCGAATCGAGCCGAGCTTCTCGGCTTGACGATAGAACTCTCTGCCTCTGAGCAGAGAGGAACCCGGACGAGGCTCCGCCGAAGGGTAGATCCTCGTTCGGGGAGGTTGACCAACCCGATTCTGTTTTTACAGTTTCTACGGACATTTTTTGGCCGAGCCTACGGGCTCGGAAAACCCACGTAAAACTCGACCTTGTGCCACATGCATCCCTCGTGGTGGGGCAAGTAAATATCGGAGCAGAGAGGAACCCGGACGAGGCTCCACCGAAGGGCAAAACCTCGTTCGGGGAGGTTGACCAATCCGATTATTTTTAAAGTTTCTACAGGCTCGGAAAACCCACGTAAAACTCGGCCTTGTGCCACATCTTTTCCTCGTGGGTGGGGGGGGGGCAAGTAAATATCACATCGAGTCGAGCCGATGGTAGTTCAGTCCAAACCAGACTGACAGTCATACTAACACCTTCCACATCTTGTATTATTATTTCGTGTAATATACCTTCGTTATTTCTACTCTTGTGTTCGTGTTGTTCTTCCTTGGCCCTAACCTTGACCATAACATGGATTAAATAAATACTTCCACATTATCTACAGCAGATGATGAACCTCGAACTTCGACAGCGAGTTGGTTATTTTGGGGAATCTAGGGACGGCTATAATAATTGAATGATTTTGCTTGTTCGGTTTACGCCATTTCTGCATATGAAATGATTTTGCTTTCGGATATCGAGGAATCTTTTTTTTTTTTTAGAAATATCGTAAAGTTAAATTTTATTGAAGTTTTTAAATAAAAAATAGCTTAAACTGACAATGATTTTGACATTTTTTAATTTAATTTTTTTCGATTTCCTTAGCTATTTTAAATTTTTTGTAAACTTCGTCACTCAGGCATGAGGTAGCTCTCACTACCATTTGTCACCCATGTAAGCAATGTCACTGCTACTTCTGATGGAAACCGTTGTTTTTTAGTGTATCATAAGTTGAAAGCACATGGAAATTCTTGAAAAATCGTTAGCATTTTAGACTGGGTTCTTGTTGGTCAGTGTAGTTTAATTGGCTGTGCTTATCTACAGAGATATAAAGGGAAGAATGAAACATAATCGCCATCAAACATGAGCAAACATTAGTAGCAAAAATTACGCCAACCTGTTTGTGAGATTGGCTGCTGCTCCTGATAGCAGAACATTAGTTGCAAAGATAACGCGTGATTCTTAAGAATAATGTCAATAGATTAATCAAGTCCGAATTGGACGGAACATCATTTGTTTGTGTCTTTGACTAAGCACTTCCATTAATGAGTTGTGCTACATTGCGTCTGTCACGTTGTATATAACCGAGAACAAGCAGAGTCTGGGAGAGAGAGAGAGAGAGTGAGAACAAAGATGAAAGAAAAGAATAATCATTTTCGGTTCGTTTTTATGGCAGATTTAGATGGAAGGAGTTTTACGGCGTGCAATGACACGTTTTCTTTATGACAAGGCAAGGAGAAAATTGCGAAAAGTTAGAAGGAAAGAAATAAAAGCAGGTTGGATAAAGCAGTAGTTTCAAGAAAGAAGACACTTCAATAATTACACAGGTCATAAAATACGTTCGCATTTCTTATTATTGTTGGCAGAGTATTCTAAAGTAAAATAGTAGTCAAGAAGAAGAAGAAGAAGAAGAACAACAACAACAAGCAGAGTCTAAGAGAGAGAGAGAGAGAGAGAGAGAGAGAAAGAAGAAGAAGAAGAAATCTTTCATCTGTTAGCAACATTGGCATTAATGGCCGACCACTGACCATTCCTTTCGTTCTGATTTCAAATGCATTTCTATAACAGAATCATATGTGCTGCATTTATATTATATAAACAATCGCCCTGTTCTTTCAGTAACAATTGTATTAATTCCTGACCAATCACTGATAATCCATTTTTCTTGAATCGACCAAAGAGAAGTTACCAATCTCACCGTAGAAAATTCTTGTTGTTGTCTTTCTTCGTTACTAAAGAGGCTTGAATTTTGTTTCACTTTCCAAATTGTCAAATGCAGAATTTCATGTCTTGTTGCATTTCTCGATTTTTTTTAAATGGAAGTCACAAGACTGTTATGCATTGTCGATAATTAAGCAGATTTTTTCAAGAACATCTATTTAGACCATAGCTCTTGCTTCTACGAGGAAGCCAAAGGAAATTAAAATAATATTTCGGTACAACGAGTAAAATCCGGTTTTCTGAAAATCTGATTTTCCATGCCAGACTTTGGTACCTCTCTGTTTTCCTTACTCCGCAGTCACAATGTTCTTATCTCACGATACCGCAATATGTATTAAGATCTATTCATGACTGATCTTGTGTGACATCAGGGCGATTACTATCCAATTTCCTGCAAGATATCATTATTATTATTTTTTTTTATTTCCTTTGATTTCTGGTGTATATTCATTTCTTTTCAACCAGAGACCTAAGGATGTCTGGTGTATACACATGTCTTTCTGGGTCCCAACCAGAGATCTAATTTCAGAAATGACTTCATGACATTTTCTATTGAACATTTTTTGATACCCCTCCCCCAAGATTATACATATTTTACATAGATAAAGCCCTTCGTAAGGTGTTAGCTGTATTTGTGAGTATCATTTTTTGTATTTTCTTTAAAGCTTGGGCTACTAGGAATCATTTTACAATTAATCCGAGTTCTCTGACTGCAACTGGAACTGTTGATGTTCTCATGAGCTACATTTTCTTTTTAGATTTCCACTTAAAGATGTGTGTATTTTGATAGTTTTTGAAGATCTTCAAAGATACTTTACAATCTGCAGGGACAGCCATGTCAATAAGAAAGCACATTTTGTTTTTGTGATCCCTGATCACAACGTCTGGGAGATTAGCTTTGATTGTTCTGTCCGTGTGTATTATAAGTTCCATAAAATTGTTACAGGTCCTATCTCCGTAACGGGGTCTGGGTGGTGTTCATACCAATTTCTTGCAGTTTTCTTTCTATAAAAGTTGCAGATTTTCCAATGCAGATTTTTCCAGATTTTGTCAAGCCGTGTTTTATATTAAGTGGATGCCAGTTCCATGAAACCTGATACAAGATGGCCAATTGTTGCTGGATATGTATCATAGAATCTGCATTTAGGGCAAACACAGGTTTTCAATATGTGCGCTTGGTAATTTCTGGTTAGCAATCATTGGTATTATTAATATTATTATTATTATTATTATTATTGTTTCTTTTGATTTTTCTTGCATACTCATTTTCTCCCGTCATCAATCCAGAGATCTCGGGTCATAAATATCATCCTGGGATTTCTGCTAAAATCAAACACACATTTTGCATCGATAAATTCCTTCATAGATAAATTCCCTTCTTATAAGAACAATCCTGGCTTTTCTTAAGACATGGGTTATTTTAAATGAACCTATCAAAATATTTTTCTATTTAATCTAGGGACCCAACCACAACAGAAATTATTAACGTTTTCATGTGCCTCATTCTTTAAATTTTCATTTATCTTTTTGTATTTTGATATATTTTTCAAATATCTTCATGGTTACAATCTGTAGAAAATGTTATTTCAATAAGAAAACACATCCTGTTTTTGTGGTCTTTGATCGCTCTTTCTGGGAAGTTAAATTTAATCATTATTATTAGTAGTAGCAGTAGTAGTAGTGGATAGTAATAGAA